GGGCAGCCCCCTCTCTCCCTCAGGGCAGCTGCCCCGGCCACCAAGGGAGGGTCCTCTCCCAGCAGCCCCTCCCCACAGAGACTGAAAGCCCCTCGGTGAGGGGATCGGGTCCCCCACCCTCTTCCCCCAGGGGCCAGCCCAGCGCCCAGCAAGAGATCCTAGATGCCAGGCAGGCCAGGCTCTCTGCCGCCGCCCCCCCCAATTCCCCAGAAGCCAGGATGCTGGAGGGCCCCCAGCTCTCCCGACAAGGAGAGCCCCCCCCCAAGCCTGCTGGCAACCATCGCTATCCCACCCCTGGCCAAGCGCAGAGCCTTCCACCCACACCCACCCAATCCTGGAGAAGGACCTCCAGGTGGCAGCAAAGGCCAAGGGGCTACTGGTCACGGGGAGGGGGGGGGAGCTGGCCCCACAGAAAGGGACACCAAGCCCCACAAGACATGGCCGACTCCATGGATGCTCTCTCTTCCTCAGCAAACGGGGCCCAAACTGCCGGGGGGGGCGCCCTCCTCCCTCATAGAGCAGCGGGAGGGGGGAGAGGATCAAAGGAGGAGGAGGGGGGGGGATGAACAGCCTGCCTGCCTGCCTGGAAAGGAGGTGGTGAGGAAACCCAGGCCCTCTCCAACCCTCTCCCCCCCCCAGCCTTCCCAGCCCTAAGCATCCTAAGCAGGATGCCCACCGCCTCTCGGCAGAGCCCACAGGAAGAAGACCCACAGGTCTCCTGCTGCTCCTCTTTGCTTCACTTGGGCCTCCCCAGGGATTGTGGGCCCCCAAGGCTTCCTGGAGTGACCCCTCTCTGTCTGGCCTCAGGCTGGCTTCAGGCTCCCCCACGCACCCACTAGGCCAGCCGGCCCTCCCATCTGACCAGGCTGGCCAAGCCAGGGAAGGCCAGGGTAGAAAGTGGGCCAGCCTGCCCCCTCCCTTCCTCCCTGCCCCACAGCACAGCTTGGTAGGGGAAAATGCAGCCAGCATGAAGGAACTCCCTCANATCACATCACATAATGGCTGATAAGCAGCTTAAGGCCTCCCTTGCAGGTCAGCCTTAATCTGGCCCACAAGCAGAGCGACTAGGAATGGGAGCAAGGGGGGCTTGACCCCCATCTCCTTTCCCCTCCCTCAGGTTGGCACCTTGCCAATTGCTGGTGTGGGGGGGGGAGAGAGAGAGAGAATCTGCCCCCAACTGTTTGTGAGATCCCACATAATGGCTGATAAGCAGCTTAAGGCCTCCCTTGCAGGTCAGCCTTAATCTGGCCCACAAGCAGAGCGACTAGGAATGGGAGCAAGGGGGGCTTGACCCCCATCTCCTTTCCCCTCCCTCAGGTTGGCACCTTGCCAATTGCTGGTGTGGGGGGGGGAGAGAGAGAGAGAATCTGCCCCCAACTGTTTGTGAGATCCAAGCAAGAGCACAGGCACAGCTTTCCTCCCGCCCGCCCCCTACACTGAATGCTAAGCTTCTCCACAGCCTCATATCTACACAGGGTGCACATGCGTGCATGCATGCGTGCGGTGCCACCGCCCCCATCGCAACCTGCACATGCTACCTGATAGCAGGCGTCGGTGCATCCCTTCGGGGCACCCCAAACACCAGGGGGGGAACACACACCTGAGATTTGAAACTGCACCCTGGGCGGCAGGCCAGCCAGGCAACCCCCACCCCGGCCTGGCCCGAACGGGTCAGGAGCCCAATCCTAAATGCCCCGAGTGACTCCAAGAGAGCAAAAGCTCTTTCAACCTGGGGGTAGGTTTCGCCAGCTTCTGCCCCCGGATGGGTTTAGCAAAGCTGCTCTCCTCCTTTGGACTGACAAGGGAGAAAACAGGGCTGGACCTGGGCTAGGCAGTCGGCCACCGCCACGGCCCCGCCGGCCACGGACGGCCTTGGCAGCCCGCCTGGCTCAACCAGCCCTGGTTGAACTGGCCTTGAGTCTCCATGGCCGGGAGAAAGTGAGGGAAAAAAAAGGCTCATCCAGAGCCTAGCCGAATAAAGTGATTCTTGCCTGTTCCACTGGCAGGACCGCCCAGGTCGGAGGCTGCAGGTTACAGGCACCTTGCCCGAGGCCAGACAAAAAAGGCCAGGACTGGGGAGCAAAAACCGAAATCTGTACCAGTGCTCCCCTTCTTAGGCCATCTTTCCACGCCGAGAGCCCTGGTGGTACAGCCTCCGTGGCTGAGACTCCGGCCCTTGACCTAAGAAGAGCCTTCCTGGACCAGGCCAAGGGGCCCCTCTTCGTCCAGCTCGCTGTCTCTCTCACGGTGGCCCCACCAGATACAGATGCCTCTGGGAGCCCAGGAGAGACCACGAGAGACCCCTGTCTCCCGATCCCCCTCTTCCCCTGCACCTGGCCTTTGGAGGGACGTTCCTTCTAAGCCGGGAGATTGTACTACATCCCCATCAGGGCTGGTCACCTGCGCTGGACTTTTCCTCCAGGAATCTGTCCAGGTCCCCTTTTTAAGGCACCTAGGCCAGAGGCCATCCCCACATCCTGTGGCCAAGAGTCCCTTGCTCAGAGTTTAACCTCTGTTGGTCTGGTCACCTCCAAGGAGTTTCCACGTGGCTCCTTGCAAGGGCTTTTCAAAGGTAATCTCCTCACAGAAGACGCTTCAGTTCAAATGCGACATTTAGCTTTTCGAGACACATAACGGGCGGATGCATCTTATTGATCAGTTCATGGAGCTATACTTCAGTCTGGCTAGAAGTCTGGGTTGTTTTGTTTTGTTTTTAAATAAATCTCTTGGTCTTTCAGAGTCCTGACCGCTTAGCAAGACTGCCAAGAGCAACTACTCTTTTCGCCTTTAACCTTCTCCGGATTGACACGATGAAGGCAGCCACAATCTTGAGTCTGCAAAAGTATTGCAGGTATTTCAGTCAACAAATACAGTACATGATTAAGCAGATCACGGTTCTCTCTCCTTGTTCGCCACAACGAACCTTGACGCTATTACTCCTCATGCATGGGGTTCCACCAGCTGGAAGTGACTTGATGGCCATAGAACAAAGGTAAAAATATTCTCAGTTATAAATGTGGCACCTATAAGGAAGAAATGGCATGCCCCCCACATCTAAACTATACTGCCCCAGTCAGAAGCTCTTTCTCCGACTCTGGGCCAAAAATGGGAGAGGGGTTTCCCCCCCCGCCCGACTCCCCAGAGGGGATATGGAGAAATAGAGACACCACAGACAAAAGGAGCATCACTGTGACAGCTTTCTGCCCAAGGTGCACCCCAGGCAACTGCCTCGTGGGGGGGGGGGCATTTCTTTCCAAGTCTCCAAACTAGAGTGAGGACCTCTTCAAATCTCCTACAGGAAGGACCTCTTGGCCTCTCCCAAAATCTCTTTGCAGGTCCTCCGGGCTCACCACTCATTGACCAGGGTGACTTGATTCGTGCCAACTGATTACAGGGGCCCCAATCGCGCCCCACCCACCGACTCACCCACCCGCATCAATCTTGGTCAGAGCCTAAACCACCCACCCCTACTCTGCTTCTCCATCAGAGATGGGGGGCAGGGAGGGGGGCAAGGCAGGGCCAGATGAGATTAAGGGGTTAAATCTGCTTTCACTTTTGCTCTCAGAGCAGAGAAGGACTTAATTCAGAGCAACCAGAGCATCAAAATTAACAAGAGGGGAAGGGGGGGGGAGCTGCAGGGAACTGCCCTGCAGCTCTCCCCACCCCACAACCTGCTTAGCTGCCCCAGAGAATAGGGAAAAGACATTCGCACACGCATGTGCCCCTCTTGGCCACCTAAAGCACTCCCTGCCTCTTCCCACAGCCTTTCTTTTGCAAACGCTTTAATATTGTCTTCTAATGATGTAAGCTGCCTCGTTATCCTCACTGTTCCTAGCTCTAAATGTTGTCTTTTAGTGACGTAAACCACCGTCGTTGTTGTTTAGCCATTAAGTTATGTCCAACTCTTCGTGACCCCATGGAACCAGAGCACGCCAGGCCCTCCTGTCTTCCACTTCCTCCCGGAGTTGGGTCAGATTCATGCTGGTCGTTTCGATGACCCTGTCCAACCATCTCGTCCTCTTGTCGTCCCCTTCTCCTCTTGCCTTCACACTTTCCTAACATCAGGGTCTTTTCCAGGGAATTTTCTCTTCTCATGAGATGGCCAAAGGATTGGAGCCTCACCTTCAGGATCTGTCCTTCCAGGGAGCACTCAGGGTGGATTTGTTCTCCTTGCAGTCCAGGGGATTCTCAAGAGTCCCCTCCAGCACCAAAATTCAAAAGCATCAATTCTTCGGCAGTCACCCTCTTTATGGTCCAGCTCTCACTTCCATACATCGCTACTGGAAAAACCATAGCTTTGACGATGCAGACCTATGTCGGCAAGGTGGCGTCTTTTAATTTCGTGGCCGCTGTCTCCATCTGCAGTGATCAGGGAGGCCCAGAAATTAACATCTGTCACTGCCTCCATATCTTCCCT